CCCTGATGCTGGTTCCATCGAGCGGCGAGCCACATATCCCACGGCTTGAGGTATTTAGTGCGCTAAATGTTGCTAGCTGCGATCCACTCCCATCTCCCAGACTCCCACACCTGCACACTAAAATTCATCATTCGTGCATTATTCCTCATTTCATCCTCATTTCTCCGCCCTATCCCATTTCCCTCTCTCGCATCTGGCCTTGCAAACACGACCGTCCCATACACACTCCCTTGACTCATTTTTCTCCTCCATTTGACCATTGACCACTGACCACCCCGACCACTTGCTCCTCCTGCCGTGCTGTGCACGGAAACAATTTAATTACTGCTGTATCATCCCCAATTAGGAGCAGAATTGGCTACTTGTTGCGTCTGCCTCGTCCCTTCCTTTGTTCGAGTCCGCTCATACTTCTCACCAACCCCCCTTGCGAAACAACCCTCCAGAAGACACAAAGCCATCCTATCAAGTCGACGGCCGTGACACTCTGCCTACTCTATACCTGGCTGGCTGAAAGTCCTCTTGTCCACCGGAGCTGACCGGCCATCTGACCGCGTCCTACGTCCTTCTTACCAGGTGCAGCTCTCATCTCATCTACTGCTGCATTGCGCCTGCTGAGCCGGCGAAAAACAAGACTGCAAGCCTCTCACACACACACACCCTCCCCCCTAGTCTCCGACGTCTGCAAGGCCAGCGTTGACCTCTCGACGCCTTGCGCACCTCCGATCTGACAATTGCTACCATACGCCAACGCGTTGTACTTGCGTCTGGACCCCCGTTCACTCGGGCCTTGCATTGCAGCTGCAGCAACACAAATCCGGAGAGCCGCTACAGGACCACCACAATCAGGCGTGCGCCCACATGGCCTTTGTCCAGGGCTGTTGAGTGCTACTGCGCTAAAGTTCTCGACAAGTTCGGTGGCATTGATCCGGATCTCCCACCGCACACAGGACAGCATAATGAAGCCGTCAAAACGTTATAGACAGAGCTGGACTCCCCGACATTGTCAATCTCGAATTTGAGCTTCATTTTGAAAAGAGAAGAGAAAAGAGAACCCACATTTTTCCATCCTTTGGCCCTTTGTTTTGCGCCATGATCTCTGCCACTCCCTCGCCTTCAGCCAGGGCGCTCAGGAGCCGCGACAACTCGCCGTCGCCTCAGCCGCGTGCCTTGGCTCGCATGCCCTCCAACCAGAGAGTGAACACGGCCCTTCATCTATCCTCCTCTGCTGCTCCAGCCTCCGCACACAGTGCTTCCTCCATGGCCCAAAGCCCGTATATCAGCTCGATACAATCCTCTCCCTTGGTGTCACATTCAATCTACCATCCACCTCACCTTGGGACCCCTGTTCCACTTGAGCTGGGAGAGAGCCTCGTCTCTTCCCATGCGTTCCCGCCGCCAAAAGAACCCATGGCAGGTCCTAAGCCTGTGGGAATCATGCGCAAGCTCTCCCAAAGTGCCAAAGAGGGTGTATCCTCTGCTCGACAGACTCTGAGGAGAAAGGCTTCATCCTCCGCGCATTCCCGTCGAGATGAAAGCACAGGCCCTATCACTAGGCGTCGCAGCGACAGCAAGAACGCCATTGCAAATGGATACTCTGTCGAGTCACCGTCCTTGGATGCTCTGCCTTTGGATCTACCGCCGGGGTTGGGCCTGTATGGTGATACGATGAGCATTTCAAGCGAGCCCACAACACTGATAGATACAAGTCCCGAGGGCCAAGCTCCGTCCGTCCCTGAGCACTTGGTGGCAGGCTGCCCACTGACCAAGATCACCAAGAATAAAAAGCAAGAGAAATTATTCTTCATGGATGTCGAGGGTTCACGTGTCTCATGGAAAGGCGCTGTTACCACCAAAGTCTTCCATATCGACAATATCAAGAGCATCCGAAGTGGTGAGGAAGCTGCGAGCTTCCAGTCACAGCTCCGTGGTGAGGCTGTCGACCCGGAACTATGTTTCACCATCAACTATACCACATCGGATTCGGCCAAGCAGGTCAAGTCATTGCACCTCGTTGCTCGTAATCACCGGGACCTCCGACTATGGGTCGACACATTGGAGAGCCTGGCGAAGCACCGAGAGGAGCTGATGACCAGCATGGTTGGCTCTACCGAGCGTGAATCGGTTGTGAGAGCTCACTGGGACAACGAAATGGCAAAGCGAACGGTTAAGAACAACACCGCCAAAGCCGACGGTCTTGACCTTCCCACCATACAGGTGCTTTGTCGTAAACTCCACATTCACATTCCCGAGAGGGAGCTGGAAGAACATTTCCATTCAGTCGACGTCAACAAGTCAGACCTCTTGGACTACCCTCAATTCAGAGACTTCCTGAGACGTCTTCGAGAAAGAAGCGACATCAGGAAGATCTTCGACGATGTGAGAGGTAGTCATGCCAGGGGCGTAACGAGGTCTCAATTTATTCACTTCCTTAAACGCTATCAAGGCATCGATCTCGCTTCTCTCTCGGACCCGAGTGTCTGGGAAGAAAAGATCAACGACTTGGTAGCCATGTCTTTTCCAGAGGATCCATCTATGCACAGAGCTGGTCTCATTGATGCTAACGCTTTTGCGTCATTCATCGTCTCCAAGGATTGCCATGTTTATTCCGTCCCCGAACCTTCAACCCCTAAATTTGATCGACCTTTGGGCGAATACTTCATTTCAAGTTCACACAATACGTATCTCACCGGTTGGCAAGTGGGAGGCACTGCTTCAGCCGAAACATATCTCACTGCGCTGCGACACGGATGCCGCTGCGTGGAAATCGACTGCTGGAACGGTCAAGACGGCAACCCAAGAGTGACCCACGGTCGTACCAGGACCACTTCTGTACTCTTCTCGGACTGCATCAATGCCATCCAAAGATGCGCTTTTGATGTCAGCCCTTATCCGGTGATCATTTCTCTCGAGGTTCATTGTGATGCCGAGCAACAAGCCAAAATGGTGCAGATCATGAACGACGTGTTTGGAGAGCGACTACTCCTTCATCCATTGCCTGGTTTCGACGCACAACTACCTTCGCCTGAAGACCTCAAGTACAAAATCCTCATCAAAGTCAAGTCTACCGAGCTTCACGCTGATCTCACGGCCTCGCGGCGTGTGGCCCCCTCGCATCGAGATCGGAGCGCAAGTTCTCCCAACAGGACCGGTGCCCAACCAACAAACTGGGTTCTCCCAAAGGTACCCTGTGTCTCAAGCCCGGCATTGGTGACACCACCAGAGACCATCTATTCTCCCACTGACCGATCGGTCACGGCAACCAGCGGAAGCAGTGCGGACGAGGAGAGTGATGTCCCACCCACCTCCCCTTCGACTGGAGATGGTCAGCGCCGTGCCCCGAAGCTGAGCAAGGTCGGCTCCCAGTTGTCTGCTCTCGGCGTGTACATGAAAGGTTACACGCTCCGCGATGCCAAAGATCTTCGTTTCCAACAATACAACCATATCTTCTCGCTCAACGAAAACAGAGCTATCGAGCTCTGTCGCTCCGCAGAGCAGAAAGCTCTCTTTGAAGACCACAATCTTCATTACTTATGTCGGGTCTATCCCAAGACTCTGAGATTTCAGTCGTCCAACTTTGACCCCAACACCTTCTGGAGGAGGGGTGTCCAAATGGTTGCCTTGAACTGGCAGACATTTGATGCTCATATGCAAATGAACCAGGCAATGTTTGCCGCTGGGACGGATGCGTATGGCTATGTGTTGAAGCCAGACTATCTCCGCAAGCCTCGGACCAAACCTGGAGATTTTGAGCATCGGGTGAAACTGCCTCGCTATAGGATCAGATTCTCGGTCCAGGTGATTTCCGCTCAGCAGCTGCCTCGGGCGGCGAACATGGGCAAAGAAACGCCCTTGAATCCGTACATCGAGGTGCAAATGTTTAGTGCGGAGGACCGAGCTCGAGGAATTGCGAACGGCTCGGGTGGCACTGAGACCTACTCCAATGGCTACCATGGCATTGGATCACCCTACCGTCGACAAACGCAGATTAGGTTTGGCAATGGTTACAACCCTCAGTTTGGGGAAAACATTGAACTTTCCCTGGAGACTAAATACCCGGAGCTTGTCTTCGTCCGATTCATCGTCTTGAACTCGGACGACGGGAGGTACACGGGCAAAGGAGTCAAGCAACTTGCGGCATTCACTGCCAAGCTCGACAGCCTGCAGAAAGGATATCGACACCTCCCGTTGTTTAACGGACAAGGGGAAGAGTTTATCTTTTCCACTCTCTTCTGCAAGATTGCCAAGCAGGAGCCCAAGCTGATGCCATGGTCATTGCAAGACGTTACCGAGCGGACTCCCCGCCCCAACGTGCTTCGAGGCTTCCTTTCACGCGGACTATCGAGCGACCGAGGGAGAGAGCGCGGGTCCAGTGTCGAAGAAGTGGACGCGGGCCGACGGTCCAACCGTGAGATTGAGGAGAAAGTGGGCAAAAAGTAAAAAAAAAGAAAGGGGGGAATTGCAAATGCAACAAGCATACTTTTGTATCAACGGTCCACAACAACGGCGCGGGAGTTTGATTTTGACAAGAGATACCCAAAAAGCATATATGACCTGATGACACACAATAGACTGACAACCCGTCTGGCAACGGACATTTCTTTCCTGTCGCTACTATTGACAAATTCAGGGAGGAGGAGGGAGACTCTTTTGTTTTGTTCTGTTTTGTTTTGTTATTACTAGTGATCAAGGTTATTGTTCTTGTGTAACAACATCATAATCATCGTTATCATATAGATCAGGGGGATGGGGATAACACGAAGGCCGTGTGAGTGTTGGAATAGCAATAGTCAGTCCTTTGGTGGGAATTCAAGCGAGAATGACAATTCAGTCTTTTTGATAAGCAGCTTTTTGGGAATCAACCGATGCCGCTCTACCACAAGCTGCTCGGCACCTCGCGGCTGCGGCGGCCACCATAGTTCTACTCTGCCATTTCCACACCCATCGATGGCCATGATGTGATATAATATTGTGGAAGTTGTGGTATTTCAATATCCTCTCCAATGCGACGGACGACGCGCAGTCTTATTGTCAACGCCATCTTGTTCTGGACAATCCTGTTCCTCATCATCTACGTCAACCATGATTGGACATCGACTACCAAGACCTTCGCGTGGTCTCGAATCCACTACAAGACCTCCTCCTCCACCCTGCCTGAGCCTCGCGGCAACTGTCCCGGCTTGGAAGAGGACTCTAAACCGACCCTAGTAGTGGCAAGAGTTGGCGCAGAGGACCCTTCATGGCTTGACACCCTGGCAGCCATTTACCACCTGTGTGTGTACAGGACCGACCTGCAAGACGTGACCTCATGGCATCTCCAAGTGCCCGCGAACCGGGGCCACGAAGCCATGGCATACCTCACCTTCCTGATCGACAATTATGAACGCCTCCCCGCGGCTGGCGCCGTCTTTGTTCACGGCTCACGCTGGGCATGGCACAATGACGCCCCTGATTATGACAATGCTGCCCTCCTGGCGTCCTTGAACGTTTCGGCTGCCCTCGCTCCGTTTGGATATCACAACCTGCGTTGCGACTGGAGCGCCAGCACATGCTCACCAACTGAGGCTCCGCCACAGGGCAGCCTGGAAACATTGGCACGCTCTGTGTTGGAGCCGTGGAACTTGCGTTTGGCATCGGATAGTGCACTGCCACGGGCGATCGTGGACCTGTTCGGTGGGCAGGGGACAGATGGAAAGATGAGCTCCTCTAGATTGTCCCTGGGTCGTACGGATGCCATTCGGTCGCAGTGCTGCGCGCAGTTTGTCGTTTCCCGCGAGCGAATGTGGCAACATTCCCGTGACGAATATGTTGCTCTTCGACAGTGGCTTCTGGATGAAGGAGAGAGGGCGGCCCATCCTGACGACCGGATTGCTGGCCGGATCTTGTCATATATCTGGCACATCCTATTTATGCCGCGGGATGCATCTGCCCACGTCGATCTAAAGCAACTCAATTCTTTGGCATGCCCGCCCGCCCACGAATGCTACTGTCGCTTGTACGGTCGGTGTGATCTGGACGGCTGCTCGAGTCCTGGTCATTGTCGTGGACAGTATGTTCTACCTCCCGGGTTTCGACTGCCGGATGATTGGGCGGCGAAACATTCGTGAGCACGAGCGGGGATTTTTTGGGCAAGACTCGCTATGTTTCAAAATCGGGCGAATTTCCATGTCTCGTGCTCAGAACTCACAACACGAGACTGATGCTGAAAATGCCAACGGCGACTGGGATGTGGCCGTCTCGGCGTCGATACAAGCACGACAAAAAGAGTCCGCCTCGAGCCTAACCAAGCTGGAACCCTTGCCCATCGAATCTCGATATCGCACACACAATCACTCTGAATGCTGTGAGGCCGGAGGTATTTCTCGACAGAGATTCCACCAGACCAAAATACCAATTGGGACGGATTAGGGTCTTGCATACCCAGGTATATGGACTTGAGATTCGTGTATTTACTTAGTCAGTGTCGGTATAGCACAAGCCACTGATCGCCGACTTGGCCAGCCTTGCCAGTCAATACGAGGTCCAAGCCTCGTCCCTAGTCCCCCAATCAGACTGATAGGCTCTTAAAATTTGAGGACAACTTTATAAAGCAGTTATGGTTGTGCTTCTCTCATACCATCACAAGCCAGTCCACTCATCCTTTTATACTCGTCGTACTAGAAATCCACCTCATGGGAGTAAATGGCGAGAATGGCGGGGAAACCCTCAGCTCAGCTCAGCAGTTGCTTGGCTGCAGCATGGCTGACTTGACTAGTTCTTCCTGCCACCAAAAACTTCCTTCGATTCAAACACATTTCTCCCTTCTATCACAAGGCCGGTTTGCGTGGCTGGGATCGAGCTAACGGTATTGTGTTGTATTTTCTAGAGGGGGCCACAATGCTGGTGCTATCGGCTCCTGCGGTCTGATGCTTTCTCTGGCTTTGGACACGCCGTCACTATTTGCTTTGGACGTTCACCGACTATCATTGTTTATTTGCCACAACCCAATGCTTCGCTGCGATCCAGCTGTTTGGTTTTTCCTGCCGAAAGTGAGCCAGGATGAAGTTCATCGACCAGTATTTCAGCGATAACCAGGGGTTTCAGCTCGACATCGTCGGTAAGTCGGGACACTTGATCGCAGGCACACCGACCCTTTGTCCCCGGGGCTCTTCCAAACATCTACTTGCCAAGCAGAAGTTGCTAAGCACCAGAGACAGGTTTCCTTGCCATCCTCGGAGAAGGTTCCGTCGAGACCATCGCCCAAGTAGCTACCTTGAGCTACCTCATATACGTTCCCCGCCTCCTCCCTGCGCCTCAGATCTTCATCCGACCTTCTCGCCCCGAAAAGTTAGAGACCACCGCGGGAGCCAATGTCATTGGAGTCCACTCAGGTAACACCGGGGAAGACATCCACCATGTGGCCCATGCCTTGCACCGCGGTGACAAGTTGCGTCCCAACACCGTCACTTGTGTTCGAGTAAGAGAGAACGACAAACCCCGTCCGTCCATCAAGAGGTTTGGTCCACTGGCCTGGCTGGTATTTCTGGGGGCAGCCATGAGCGGTGCCCTGCTGGCGCTTTCCATATACTATGAAGACGGGTGAATCTTCACCACGGTCCCGGAATACAAGGAATACTGTGCTAAATCGCCATTGTCTAGGATGTCGTTGCTGGCGACCGTGTTGCTGTCCTCCCTAAGCACCGTGACGGGCATCGCCAACAAGTGGTCACCCACACCCAATGATCCCAAGCCCGATCCTCACTCTCCGCCCGGCGACGTGGTCATCAAGTACCCTCAAGGCGCCTTTATTGTGGTGAGCTGCGAGGAGCGAACGGCGCGGTATCTCTACTTCAACCCCAGTGAGCGTTGCATTTACTCGGTGAAAAGCACGGCCATCTATCGAGGACTGTCGCTCATTTCGACCTTGTTGCTCATGGGCGGGGTGATTTCGTTGGCCAACGCCAAGATCCAGACCCAGACGGCCTTTGCGGGCTCCTACATGCTCATCAATATCTTCTACTGGGTCGGCGCCGCCTTGCCTCCTGCTCAGCATTGGGACCTCTCCCGCCTGGAGGTGGAGCACATCGAAGTGCGTGGGGGAACGCCACCACGAAACGCCAAAGTCGACAACTATTCGCCCACATACACCGAGGCGCTGTGGAAGGCTATTGCAGTGACAGGGACCAGCAATTGGGTCAAGGAAGCTGGTTGGGCTCCCAAGACACCAGCTTGGAGCGACTGGCTCAACGAGGCGGAAGAGGCTGCGGTGGGCGAACCGCTGAAATCAAGCCGCCAGATGGTGGATGGGCGAGAGGTTGAAGTCTGGACAATCCGCAACTGGGACAGCCGAAATGCGCTCTCAACGCTGTTACGGACCACAACGGACAGAATCCAAGTTCAGTCAAAGCGGGGATGATGCAGGAAGAAAACACCATTGTGATGCGAAGAAGTTGTCCTTCCCATGTAAACCAACAGAGAAGAGGGCATTCCATCACCGACGCCTATCCAGACTGGCCTGGTCTTTTACACACCCACGGTCTACCTGAGTACGGGCACGCACGACACATCTACGAATTTTAACGACCAGAAAGTGAACGAAAACAAGAACGAGGACGAGAACCATGATCCCACGAACCAATGATCCAATCAATGATCAATGAATCACAAATGACTCCATGATCCAACGAACAACCAGGTACCGGACCCAAAAAAAGTGCACCATAAAAGTACCAACATTGACAGTACCCGATATACATCCACATACCTCACCTATACTCGGTACACTGCGTTACTGAATGCATTTATCCACCAATCTGTCTATCCACGTATGTATGCATGCATGTATGTATGTATGAGACCACGAACGCGGGCGCGCAGGATATTTATTTTCTATGGATATAATGGGTATTCGGATGTAGAGAAAGAGAGAGATTTGATAGACTGACTTGGACTTGAACATTTATGACCTTTACAACAGTTTATGACATCTACTCGTACCACCTGTGCTCATTTACACAAATCGCATGCCTCTTGGGATCTGGTATTTGCAATGCGCGACGCATAAGACAAAACCTTGTCTCGTTCTCTCTCGTTGCTTTGTCGTGTCGTTTCCCTATCTAGAAGCCGTATGTATCCCACAATACGTGAGAGATAAAAGACAAAAAATTGAACCTCGCCAGGAGAAGAGACCAAATAAAAGAGTCAAGTCGAGCCAAAAGTCAAGCTTCCGTGTCTCGTGTCAAGGGAGTATACCTCGTACGGGGAGTATATGGGAGTATATACTTGTATAGATCGTATGTATTGCCCCTTGCCCTGAGCTCAGCTCTGCTTCTCTTTCTCATCGGTGTCTGTCAAGACCAATATTGTCAAGTGCTGTCTGTCAGGTGCATGTCCGGGTCGATTAATATCAAAACATTACTCCAAGTAGTAGTAGTGGTGGTGGTGGTAGCGGTAGTAGTTGTGATGACTCCAGTTCAGTTCCACTGGGAATCCCCATCGTCGTCAAAGTCGTCGTCGTCATATAGATCGATCTCAAAACAAAACGCTCACAAAAAGGCATGTTGCCCAAAACCAAAAATGGCATCAAAGCATCCAACATGGTATACATGCATTCGTCACCACCCAACGAAACTCCCAATCAAACCTTGGCACTTCTCATCTCATCAGCGGGAATCATGCCTGCATTGATCTGCGCAGCCAGCTGCGACTCTCGGAATGCATTGAAGCCCTCGGGGTCTTTCTCCCTGAGCATCAGAAGCTCTTGAGCATTCAATCCTAGCTCGCGTACGACGTTGTCTGCGCCTTCCTTCTCCACTTTGTACCGAATGTCCTCTCCATGGATCTCGTCCAATTTTGCGCGGAGAGCAGCGAGGTGAGGTGGGTCAAGGTCAGTTACACTGGATCCATGCAAGGCATCATCCAGGCCAGTGGGTTTGAGGACTTCTCTCCGGATACTCTGTCCAAAACGGTGCATACGGCCTTCTTCGTCTGTAAAGGCTTTGGCCGCGAGAGATGTATTGGACGACGTTCGGGATAATTTCATGGCATATTGGTCTTGTGCCTGACGTTCTGCCGGGAAGTAGTCGTCAGCATCAGCCATCTCTAGGATCCCACTTGAATCAACCGAAGCCGACAATAGAGACGTCTCTCCCATGGAAGGATCTGGGGAAGGCATGCCGTTCGGAATTGGAGGAGATGACGAAGAGACTTTGGTCTCGGGATACTCGTCTTCGAACCTCTGGATCATCCGCTGCAGGGTCTGGTCGAGGAAGAAAAGACGACCTGTTCACGCTTGTCAGTAACGATATACCCTTCGAATCCTCTGGCCAAGACTTACGATAGTTCTCGTGGTTTCCCGCTCGATCTTCTCTGACCAGGACAGGCTGTAACCGTCGTCTGATCTTTCGCGCACTCTCACAAAGCTCCAAACTCACATCCCGCGGTTTGGACATTGTCCTTTGCCGGATTGGTCCCCTTGGAGTGGATGTCCCACTTGCTGTAGGACTAATACTCCTCGATTGTGCCCGGCTGTTGCCGTCCTTGCGATCCAAACAGACACCCAAGGCTTTGACGATTCCGGTCGACGCAATCATATAGTCCTCATCCGGCGCTGGCTCGTCCTTGTCGTAATTCGCTGGGTAGCCCTCCACATGACCGACAAGGTGGAGCAATACTTCTGGAGCGTCCTTCTCAGCAAGTTCGTCTGGCTTGACGCCGACCTCACTCAGAGTTGCGCGCTCCATGTTTCGGAGACTGTAAGCCACGACCTGTGATGCCAATGCTTTGACAACCTCACTACTGTCAGAGCTGGGCACTTCGATCTCCACAGCCACAATGGTCTCCGACACTCTGACCGCGGTCATCAAGGACGCAAAGAATGCGCACGCCTCCTCTTGCGAGCTCGCATCTCTCGAATTCATGGCGTGAATGAGCGGAGCATTGTCTAGAATAGTGAGATGGGCCATCGATGGGCAATCCGGCAAGATCTCGGCCAAAGCAATGACTTGTTCAGACGTCATGCCCACATCTGACAGATGTAAACGCTTCAGAGGTGCTAATTTGGGGAGGAGTCTGCGGAGAACAGGCACGGCGCTGGGCTGACTGTTGAACAACGCCATGTTGCGTGACAGGTCGATGAATTTGAGGTTCTTCAGTCTGGCGAACGGTATCAGGATGGAGTTGAGATCGCCGGGTGTTAAATTGCAATCCGACAAGCTAATTGCAAACAACGGGCAATCACTGTCAGCAGCTTCTGCAAGAATGTATGCGATCCCATGCAGGTCATTGCTTCCAAGATCGAGACCCTCACAGTGGCCAGACTTGATATATCGCACAAGGTAGCTGAGGGCTTCCTGCTCGAGGTTGTTGCCAGAAAGCCCGAGCCGTCGGATCTTACATTTGATGGCGCAATCCACGAGGTCTCGAATATTCGCGGGAGAAAGGCCACAGTCGCCAAGGATGAGCTCGTCGAGTTTGTCACCCAATCGCTCTGATAACGCATAGATAACCAGAGTCCCCAGATCCATGACTTTGGAAGTCGCGTCATTCGATCCAGTGCTGTTGGAACTTGTTGTAGAGATTGTCCGTGAGAGATCGCCTGCCTTTGGGAACGGGATACCCGACAGATCAATGCCTCTGAGCGAACGCGACATGTGCATGAAAAGTGCAATGTGCCTCCACCCGAGATTTGTGATTCCAGAGTTGTCCTTCAGAGAGAGCTTCTCGATGACTCCCATCTGCTCCCTGCCACTCTTCCCACTCAGTCTCTTGGGCAATTTTCTGTTCTGTCGGGCTTGCTCGGCAGATTTGCAGCTGGAGAGGCCTGACAAAATCACCCGGACGCCTTCGTCTGTCAACCCACAGTTCTCCAAGACGAGTTTGCGAACAGGAACGATGGCGAGCCAATCGCCCAAAGTTACAATATCCTGCAACTGCATCTGACTCCCGGACAGATCCATTACCGCGACTGTGCCAGGAGCTTCGGCCAGACCAGCGGAAGGCTTAGATATTTGCTCTTTAACTTTGTTCAGAACCGCTGTTTCGCGCAATTGACAACAGCGCTTGTATATCCTCAGAGGGTCTGTCGTACGGCCATCTGTTCCTTCTGGAGGCCGCTTGCTGGGCGTCGACGCGCCTGGTGGTGTAATGCTTGTATTCGAGTCCGAGTCATCGTCTTCACGAGTCAACTCTAGCGGTACCAGGCCATTTGCTTCAGCGTGTCGTCTTTTTCGCTCCTTTCGTTCCTTTCGCTCGACTTCGGACCGTTTCTTTTTCTCCTTCTTTCGTGTACTGGGCACGGCTAGAGGCTCGGGGTCTTGCAGGGTTTCCGAAGTATCTTTAACTTTCTCATCCTTTTTCCCCTCTGATGGCTGAGTCTGGGGTTCTGGCTCCGGGCTTCTCTGCTCCCCCTCTTCCTGCTGCATTTCTGCAACTGACGTCTTAGGGGTTTTTAAGACGGCGCCTTCACCCTTTTCTTTGGTCCTTACGTCCTTCGAGTCTTTGTTGCTGGTCACTTGTTTGTCAGAAGTGGAAAGATTCTGCTTCTGAGCGTTTGACACCGCTGGGCGGTGATATTGCTCTGGATCTTCGTCGGCCTGAGAAGCGAACCCAGCAATCTCCACATCTACGCAAAACGACACTCTCTTCAGCTTGTTCTGGTCAAACTCGCTGATCTTGATGCGTTCACGATTCTGGTCGATGTTCATCACTCTTCTTGGGCAGATTGCACCACTAGTTGCGCTTTTGCCCATGTGGGTGTTGGAGGAAGAGAGTCTGCGAAGGGCGCTCGACAGAAATCCAGGATGCTCTAACTTTGTCTCTTTTCCCGCGGCAACGAGTACTGAAGGTCTTCGAGGGGCAGTGTGAGGGACGACAGGAGTTTTGGATTCTTCCTTTTTGGTCTCTTTCTGTCCTTCTTTGGGCGGTCGGTTCTTCTCGAAGGGATTCGATAACTCGATTTTCGGACTCGGCTGAGGAGATGCTGTTAGGCTATTACTCGCTTGTTGCACATCCGTGCCGGAATTCCGAGGCGGCGTTGGTGAATTCACAGACGAGAATTTGGAGCTGAAACTTGCGATCCACGAACTCCTTCTACCCTCTTTCTTGTTGGGGATACTTGGCTTCAGACCTTTTTTGCCATCCTCCGTGCTCTGGCCTTTCGACATCGTGGGTCGAGGGGATTGGCTTTGGTTAGGCTGGGAGACTGTCGGCCTTGTCTTCTGCGCGGTAGGCAGTGTGTGGTTCTCCTTGCCATTGACAGCGATTGCAGACTTCTGTGGTTCGGATACTGGAGGAACTCCATTCGGAGTTTCTTGGAGTGGTGTAGGATCATGGCGAGGGTGCGCAGTTGCAGGATCGTGGTGATTGCCTTTGGAGCCTGCAGAGGACTGTGAAGCTGGCTTCCGACCATTTCTGTCGCCCACCGAATGGGTCAAATCTGGTGCGATGGTTAGTGATACCGTTTTCTGCAACAATCGCTGTTCAGACGAAGAGAAAGCAGGTGCAACTGTGAGCCGACATTTTGGGACCACACCTTTCTTAGAATGCAGCAGCCAGTCGACATCCAGACCACTTTCGGTGGCCGCAGCCATTGTGATTTAAGATGAAGCGCAGACGCCTCCAGGATCAACAGATGAACCTTTGCTCTGGGGATGTCATATAGGCTGGACCGAGGACCGTTGTGAAGAAGCTGGATGATGGGCAACGATGGGTTTGCACAGGGCGGCCGGCGGGGTTAAAGGTGCAGTAGGCAAAGTAATGTAGCTCCTGCTTGGTTGGCCAGAGGTCAGAGATCGCGATCGACTTGGGTCTGGGCTTTGGGGATCTTGTGGCAGGATGGCAGGATTCGGCCGCCACTTAAAAGCCAGCCCGCCGCTGGAACTGGAACTCGGTACGAGTAGGTTGACAAGGCGGCCCTCGGAAGCGCCTGGGGGCTTGAGCGCCGTGACTGCGGTGCAGTGGCCCAAGGTCCAATGCCTCGAGGAATGCCCAGGATTTTCGGCCAGAATAGCTGCAATAGTTGGAGGTTGTAGAGGCTGGTGGAGAGTGCTGAATGGGTGCAACAGGAGGGGATCTAGGGAAGTGGACCACTTGACATGCACCACTGACACCACCAGAAACTCAGCTTCGGGCGGTTTCTATGTGGTCATTGTCACCATCCACACCACCGACACAATAATAATGAGCAATGATGAAATGAGAAGTGTGTCGTTTGCCGTCCCTTTCAAGCACACGAGTCGGGTAGATCGCGGGATTTCGGAAACCGTCGTCACGGAACTCTCCCTCGTTGGCGTCACTGTGCGAGAGATTCTCCCAGCCGACACTTCTCCTTTCTCGAGCGTTCCCTTATTAATGATGGCGCCCCTTCGAAAAATGCCTCCTGCTGCAAGCGCGTGACCCGGCCGAGAAAGAAAGGGAAAGATCAAGAATTGCACGGGGTGGCAGGGAGAAAAAAGTGTCAGCAAACAAGCCCATAATATATGTCGCACCTCTGCTCAACACCCCATATTGCCATAATAACAGGCCCTTGATGACACACATGCGAACAGTGGCACAGGGCACAGGCATTGGTACCAACTGGTCAGCCCCGATAACCACTCGTGGCAAGAATTCCAGGTCGTGGTGCCTGACATATGTATGAGGCCCCCTGCTGGGTGCCTGCCCCTCGCGGGATTGCTTAGATGGACACTCTGCTTAGGGCCTGTTCACCAGTAGAAGGCCTTGGAAGAACCACCCAGCAGAGCCTGTGGCCCAAAGCACAGGGCTCACTAACCCACTAAGGCACAGTAAGGATCGACTCAGAGGCACCTACTCCGTAAAGTCTACCTCTAGGTCTGGTGGCTGGGTCAGGTCAGCATCTTATGTCAGATAGCGTCAAGACTATAGTTGACTATGAGTGGCCGGTATGGACAAAGTTATGATGGCTCATCATCCTTCCTACTAGTAAGATTTTCTTCACACGGTTTGGCAAACCGGAACGTGTGCGAAATGAAGAGTTTCTTCAGAACTTGGGAAACTGTTACAGGCGCCCAATAGCCATGATTGATATTCTTCTCTCGTCCTGGCCATCTCTCGTCATATCAGATCGTTTCCAGCTAACCAGGCGCGCCAGAGCATCAGATCTCTGGGAAGAACTCTGTCAAACCCATCATAGGTATCTATCGTAGGACGAGTTGCTTTTTGGAGAATGCTGAACATCATGATTCTCGTATCTCTTGACTCGAAGTTCTCAACACCAGCAACGATTCCTTCTCAACCGTCCCTAATGAACTCCTTTTTTTTTTCCCGAGCACCAACCGGTGGTGGATGACGGCACTCAGGAAGCAAGAGTCGCAATCTTCTCCTTGACTCGGCGGTCCTTCTCCTCCTTGGACAGCTTGCTGACCTTGTATTTCTTGCCTTCCGCCTTCCACTCATCCTTGGACTTCTTGTCTCCCTCATCGTCGTCCTTCTTGAATGGATCCTCGCGAATAGCAGCGTGCGCCTCGGTGTACAGATCCTCAAGACCATCCGCCTCGATCTCACTTTCGATGTACTTGACGAATTGAGACTTGTAGCGTTCTTCATCGTCATCTGCCAGTGTTTCCATGTACTCCGCGACGTGTCCGCCGAAGATGTACTTGCGCAGGACGTCGGCATCCAGTTCCTTGCTTTCTTGGTCATAGCCGGGGAATCGTTTCTCGTTGTGGGGAATGTACAATCCGCCATCAGAAGCTCCCTTCATCGCACCAAAGACACGAGCGCCCGTAGAAGTACGGTGCAGACCCACGTCGAGGAAGCACTTGAAGGGACGACGTTCCTCGCCATCCTCGTCGGCAGCCTCTGTAAGCTTGTATTCTCCATCGGGCTCTTCCACACCAGTAAATTTCTCATCCAAGTCCAACTTCTTGAGAGCACGACGAGCCAACAGCAGGCCAGTAGCGTACGCGGCAGACCAGTTGGTCAGGCCATTGTTGATGCCATATCTCTTGAGCTCATGCGAGTAGGCAGCAACAAAGACTTTATCGCCAGTGATTTCTGCGGTAACCAGTTGGCAGATGATGTCTCGATTGGTGAAGCGGACGACAAGGCGGTACTTGGGGGCGTTGTACTTGTTCTTGGCTTGGCTGATCAAGCGCTTGCGAGCATAGTAGTCGGTCTGATTTTCAGTCGTCAGTCATCAGCTTGTAAGACGAGGCGAGGAATGCAGATTTTCGTCACCGTACCTTGCCAGCCCGTCTGCGCTTGTACTTGGTCTGGAAGCGGGAGTAGTAGGGGGAGTTCTTGACGCTGAAGTATTATGTGTTAGCTCTGGAGACCAGAAAGGACCTGTAAAGGCCTCGGACTCTCTGGACTTACAGCTTCGTGAAAGGCATATTGCCGACGTGAGACTGTCCCAAGAATTATTGTGGTTCACTATGAAATCCCCGAATCAGCATTTTGCGCTGCAGACCCAATTCCGCAGCAACATGCAGGGATTCTCTCATACATCTTGTCGTTGTAAAGTAGAGACTTTGTCGAAAATCTCGGTTGTGCAATGGAGGACTCAAAGAAGTTGAGATGGCCTGGAGGATATCGAAATGCGAAGTGCGAGTCCCAAGTGTGAGATGTGTGCGCCGCCAAGATTTTCAATTGTGCGCTCAAACCGGGATGCTTGGTTGGTGGGGGTCGTTTTAGCTCAGCCTCGTGCCTCGTTGACCTTCCGAAATCACCTCTCCCAAGCTCTCCGCTACACAGTGCACTTCATACTCTTTGAAAATTGAGGCAGGCAATCCGAGCTTTAAAATTACAATGGCCGCGAAATAAATCTGGGCTCATTACCCTTGACCAGGAATGTCAATGACCAATTGAACGGGGATTTAAAGTGACAGGGCCACACTTTTACCCAACTAGCAAAAAGGCTTGATGGACGATACAGCGCTGCATAGGGAGGCATATGTGACACTAATATGTGGAGATTCACACTAATCACAAGTGCGCCTCCGCTGCAAATTTCGAGACTGCGACAAGTCGGAGTCGCCCGAGAGATGAGAGGCGGAAAGTCTTGTAGAAGGCGCAGCCTCCGAGGGGATGTTGAGATGGTAGCATTGATAGAAGAGCATTGCCGACCCCGGTGCAGTATGCATGGGATACATTAGTGAAGCAGGCTTTCGACTGTGGAAGGAAGTGGTCATATGGTGTGTCTTGAAAGGCCGTCTTTTCTAAGTTGTGAAGTAAGATGGAAGAGCGACAGAGAGCAATGTAGAGAACTGCTTCGAGAGGGGTGCCTCATACAAAGGAATTTGGGAACAGACTCCATGACATCCCCTCAAGATTGTCTGCAAGTGTTGTTCATTCATTGACTGTCGTCCGCCAAGTGCAACCCGTAGATGCAGCGGTAGTGAATGTGAGTCCTAATGTCTTGGCGTGATATTGGAGCAGGTCGCCCAACCTACTTCAAAATTACATTTTGTTTCATCGCCATCCAGGACGTCGTCGTTGACAAGCGACAGCGATGGCTTCTCGGTTGTCTTCCCGTGGTGGTAAGTTTGCCGAACACCAATCAGTGCTTGCCCCTTGCAGTCGGGCCGAGCCGTGCAGATCACAGCCTATCCTTGTTCGGCGGAATAACAGAAAATCCGTATCCCGATGACCCTTTCCCCATCATGGAGTTCTGGATGTTCAAGACTAACCTGACTTTCTTCTCATTTCAGATTTACCACCACCACCACCAACACCACGCCTTCGCCCTACCACCACCAACCTCCCTCCACTGCGAGGGCATAGTCGTCGCTCTACCCTACTGACAGCACCTTTGATCTCTACAGGCTACGCCACCGTGCTTCTTCGTTCTCCCGTCAGCTCTCGTCGCCAATCTTTCAGTGGACCCAGTCAGGAAAGTGAGCAAGACGATGAACTTCTCCGCCAATTCACCAACGCCCAGCTCGTCAAACCGAATGAACTGAGCCAAATTCTCCAAGATCATCTCAACAGTCAGACCTCTGTCATCGAACAAGAACCTGACCTTGACCCAGACTCAATCTACATCAACATACGCGGCTACAGTCCTTACAGCGACATGGCCTCTCCAAACGCGTTCCCGTCCCTTGACACCTCTCTCCCTCCTGCTGGCAACCGTGTGTCGGCAGCTTCTCCCATCGGTCCTTCCTCCATCAACGGCAGCAATGGCATCAACGGCCCAGGATCGGGTGCGGCAGCCGCTGCAGGCTACATGCCTCCTCTACCGGTCGGCCATCAGCAAGACCTGAATCACCTCTTCAACCAAATCCAAGAATTGGGAGCCCTTTTGAGAAGCAATCGCGAGAAAGTCAATTCCATCACTCGCAATGCTGAGGAAGTGGCGAAACGCGCAAATGGGGCGCTTACAGACGGCGAACCAGCGCAGCCAGACAATGACAGTAAGTTACACTGCGATCCGTCGGATTTTCTCGTCGGCAACTCAACTAACCCGACTTTCCTTCTCTAGAAGCACGTGTCCGTGAGCTCGAACTCGAACTTGCCAAGCAGAAGCAGCTGGTTGAACTTTACAAGCACGAACAAAAAGAGAACACTGGCTTGATTGCCATGTACGAAGAAGCAATGGGGACGGCTGTCGAACAGATCCGAAACTACTGCGGCGATATCGAGGGTCGATTCTTGAGACAACGCAAACATTACAACGACCTCTTGCAGCAGGAGAAGGACGACCACTTGCAATCTCGTCTCGATAGGGACCACTGGTATGCGCAAACACTCAAGGTGTGTGAGATGATTAGGACAGCGCATCGGTTGAGGACGGATGAGTGGTGTGAAGAGTACACCGTCATCGCGGGGTTGCAAGGTGAGGTGAGATGCCTCAGACGATGCATGGGGATGGAGGCAGAGAAGCCAGAGGAGGAAACCGGCTGGCCATACTTGAAGGACTTGCCTCTCCCTGAGTAAGCATGAATTGAACGAAACGACGAAAGCACATTGCATTGGGAGCTGGCACTGGCGCAAACAGGATGAGCGAACGGAAAATTGCATTGATGGCGCAAATCAGAGGCATCACAAGTTGATGCATTGACGTCGTCATGACGACGACCAGAAATAACACTGAATTATTCCACAGCCTCTTGTGCCTGCATCTCTCTCGCCGCGTCGTTGGACATGTCGTCGATTATCAAATCATCTTTCGTCGTGCAATCTCTTATGCAGTGATAGGCTGCCTGAGGCCACTGAAGGCAAAGCCGGTAACGGCTCGGTAGGGGGAGGTCCTGAGGACGGGGTCCTGGGACGGATCAGGCACGGCAAACTCTTCTGCCGCAGGAGGACGGATTGCCGTGGTCTTTTTGCCAGTTGCTGTGGGGATTGAGGGTTGGCTCGCCACGCGCCGTCTTCTTCGACAGAGCAGATTCGCGATGTCTGCGGCTTCTCATTCGGATTTGCAGCCATGGCTTTTTCCAGGGACAAGACTTTGCCGTATCTGCGTGGGTCGCGCGCCGGTAGTGGCGGGCGAGTAGCCACCTCGGCTCTCTCCGCGTGTGTTGGTGGTCTGCTTGGACACGGCAGATTAGGCAGAGTGCACTGGATGTTGGTGGTGCTGATACTGCTGCTCGCGACGGAGGTGGCAGCTGCGGCGATGGGCGGTGAAGGTATGCCGTTTATAGACAGCTTTTGCAGCCCTGTCGAAGGAGTCCGTGGGAAGAGACTATATGACGCGGCTCTCTTCCGGACCCCGTCTGCCGAATCCTGTGTGTACGTGGAGCTTTTGCTTCGGATGCTAGCGGGCCACGAGGACGAGGACGGCGACGTCGGCGTGGTACACCGGCTGCTGTTGCTGGTGGTGGTCTCGGAACGGTCGCAGCGATAGCGAGCAGATGTCTTCCTGATGTGCCCTGACTCCGGCAGGGGGGCGATGGTTGAAATACGTCTATCGTCACCACCGAACCGGTACGGGGATGCAGGTATCGACGGCAAGGGTTTCTGCGAGGGCAGGTCATGGCTGTCAATGGGTATCCCAGCCAAAGAATCCAGGGCGGTCATCGGACGAGCCGCATGTTGGGTGGTCTGGTTTGGTGTCCGCTTGTACGTGGACAAGACTCCCGCGTGATATGGTGTCTGTGTGGACATTTCTGGCCAGGAGTAATCCCCGGGTGTTGGGACTTTGTCACTATCGGCAATCGTAACAAAGGGCCCGGGAGCACACGAAGAGCTTGCGTAGCTGGAGAAACTTGTGTGAGTGGTATATATTGAGTTATCGTCTGCTGCCAAAGACGGCGCGGTCGGGGATTCGACACTGTTGAGCGTATGGACTGACGAATCCGTGGTTGAGCGAGACACGTTCCGGGAAGTCTTGCTGTACATTGCTGGTTGTGCAAGTATAGGAGATGGCAGCTCTTCGTAAGCTTGCTGCGTGACGAGTGGTCGTGGGTATGTTGGATGAATGACCGTCAAGTTTCGCTGAACCCTCAGCCGCCGGACTTGCTTCTCATCTTGCTGCGACGTGCACGGAGTTGGGCTCGACAGAGTCGTGTCGGCATTGGATGCTTGCGCATGAGCGATCTCTGGAGCTGAAGCAACCGGCCCCGAATACACAGATTGGGATATGTTGGGCCGAACAGAGGTCGAATCGAGTCTGTTTTGCCTCGTAAACTTCTCCAACTTTGTGCGACTAAGGAGTGCCTTGAACCGAGACTTAGCACTTCTCTCAGAAGGCCACCACCCAGATACCTCCTCCGAGGACGTCGTGGACAATGATGCCTTGACGGACATGGTGGAAACGATGACTGGGGAAGGCAGAACGACGAGATTCCAAGGTCAGGAGCACTGTTTAGTAGGGTAGCGAGCAATTGGCACGGTTCCTACGTCGTGTATCGAGCTATGGCGTGAAACTGAAGATCTCCAAGAGACGGTCCTCAGGGACGGAACACTCTCTGTCTGGGATGAAGGGATGCAATTGGATGAAGAAAAGATGTTGGGCCGGAACCCCTAGCTTCAATACCGTCGATCGTTGTTTGTTGTGGCGTGGCTGTGTATCTGCGTTCTTGATACCTGACAAAAAAGGACATCTGATTCAAGCGCGGCCTTGCAGGAACTATGATAGTGAGATCAGCTGTGTCTATTCAGAGCTCCTCAGACTGAATAGAGCGGCCAGAAGAGTAAAAAACAACCGACCACACTTGAGGTGCCCATTTAAGCGGATGGAGTGAGTCAAGAAGGGGAGGTCAATAGGCAGTTGAGATGGAGCAACGAGTCTGGTATAACTGGACTAGGTCCGTGCTATCACACATAACAAGCTCTGGCGATCTGGGCCCTGTCACAAACCGTGGCATGTAGGGTGTCACGAGTGACAGGCGGGAAAAATGAAAGTATTGGCGGATTGGCAACAACCTGTTGTCTGTAAGGGAGAGACATTTTACAGTCTCAGACGTGGTGTATGCATTTTGACAGAGAATTAGGTTAATACCATTTTCGATCAGCGCTGGGTTGTTGAGTGATTAGCAAGCTGACTTGCACGGCACGCGGGATCCAAGGTCCAGAGAGTCCCAAGAGACAGACAACTTGCTACGATAAATGATCAAAAGAATACTTGACTGGAGTTTTGGCCGTTGCAAACTGGACCAATAAGGTTGATGAACGGTGGTCAGAGCTCAAAGAGATCCTTGAATGCGTCCAAGGACGGTGCCTTCACCACAGGAGGCAAGAAGCGGTAGTGGCTGTCTGTGAGTGACGTCTTGGAATCGAGATGACGCTACTTGACAGCTGGAGTACCCATTGACGAGAGGGAATCCGGAGAGTGTAGAGCATGCACCACTTGCTGCAAACGCCAGAACCTAATAGAGACACGGGCCATCGTGGCAAGGGTCCGTGATGGCTCAGGCAAGGAGGGAATGTGGCCTCACATTGCTTGTGTTTCCCAGGGAAGAGACGTCGAACTAGTGAGACATCAACAAGCTGGGCATCTGAAGGGGGAGAAAGGGAGAGGGTCGGGAGAGGTTGAAGGGTGGGTGGAGTGAGCAAATAGGATGTCCTCAATAAAAGAGTGATCGTGAGCATGACTCGATTGTGAAGGGAGTAACAAGGAATGCGAAAGACGTTGCAGCACTTGGTGTTGGTGGTGGAAGTGTAGATGTGTTTTGTGAGGTTGCATCTTTGTGGTCTGAATACTTCGCCGTAGTATAAGGTACACCGATGACGTAAAAGGCGGAGTGCCACGCCAACACAAGGCCACGAGGCTGCGCCGCAGACTGACCGTGCTTGTCTTCCATTGAATCAACCCCCCAATCCCTTCGCGTTGGAACTTCAGACCACAAAACTCTTCCCACTCGCATTCGCATTAATGGCTCGGATACTGATAACAGGCTCATCAGACGGTTTAGGTTCCCTGACTGCCCGTGCACTGGTCCAGAGAGGGCATTCTGTGGTCCTTCATGCGAGAAACGACCGACGAGCCCAAGATGCGAGGGCCGCTTGTCCTGGCGCCGAGACATGTGTTGTCGCCGATCTCTCCGACATTGCACAGACCAAAAACATGGCTCGAGACATCAACAAGCTTGGCGCCTTTGACGCGGTAATCCATAATGCTGGCCTTTACACAGGTCCGTACCGAAGGACCAAGGAGGGTTGGCCCAGTATTTTTGCGGTGAACACTCTAAGCCCCTATATCCTTACCTGCCTCATCGATCCTAAGCCGAAGCGACTCGTGTTCGTGTCATCTGGCCTTCACAGTGGTGGCGACCCTGCGTGTAAAGATATCACATGGCAAGAGCGTGGAGAAAAAGGCTTCAGAGATTTCCAAGCGTACTCGGATACCAAACTGCATGATATCCTCCTGTCCTGTTTCTTTGCAAGGAGATGGCCTGATGTGAAGAGCAACTCGCTCGACCCGGGCTGGGTGGCTACTAAGATGGGGGGCGCTGGCGCAACAGGAGACATCAATGCTGCGGTTGATACCTACGTGATGCTGGCAGAAGGAACTGGTGAGGCCAAGGATGTCTCTGGCAAATACTGGTTTCATTGCAAGATAAGATCGCCCAAGAGAGAAGCAACTGATGAGGCTGTTCAGGACAATCTCATTCGACAGTTGGAAGAGCTTACGGGGGTTCAACTTGACTAATGTTACAAGATATGGATCAGGAGTCAACGCTGTGAAAGGGCACATCGCCTCCAGGGAAGTCGTGCCTCTCTCTGCCGGACCCATCTGGAGCCGGTCTCCCCAAGAATATAAATAGAATCACACAGTCACGACGAGATGGGTGACACGGTGACGACTGGTGAACGAGTGTGTCCCAATTAGGTAATCATGTTACGGGATTCGCCCGCTGGGTGGCCCGAATCGAGCGATATCCCGGCAGCCAATCAACGATATGAAACACGAGGATCCATTTCCCTGTTATGATGCTTACAACTTCCTCGTACTTGTACCCTCGTGGGACCTGCAGAAGAACCCCCTTTCTCACTCACCCCTTCGTGCTCCCTCAGTCTCTGCATTTCTTGGTTTTCGATTAGTCATTTGCCTATCATGTTCCTCCTTTATGCGTTCTGGTCGTTGGTGTTGGCTTATTTACTCTGGACATTGATACGATTCACAGACAACTACTTGGAAGCTAGGAAGATCGGATTGCCAATTCTGGTCTCCCCAGTCAATCCAGCAAGCCCGCTATGGCTGCTCACAAAGGAGCGACTCATACCGCTCGTGACGTCTTTACCGTGGGGACTAGGGGAATGGGCCACCAGGGCTGAAGTCGGCTGGACATTCTACCAAAGATATTCGGTACACGCAAAGTACGGCGAGGCATTTACCATTGTCTCGCCCGGGACAAATGAGATCTATATTGCGGACCCCTCAGCCGTCGAGGATCTACTCCGACGGCGTAATGACTTCATCAAAGACCCGGCCATGTACGGAATGCTGAACTTTTATGGCCCCAACCTGGACACCGTCAATGGCAAGGTATGGGATCGCCACCGCAAAATCACCGTCCCACCATTCAACGAACAGAACAGTGCTTTAGTTTGGCGGGAAAGTGCGGAACAAGCAGACCAGGTGCTGGAAATCTGGTCCGCGAAGGATCTTGTCACAAGCACACAGCTAGACGTGCATGCCGTTGCCCTCAACGTGCTGTGCGGCGCCGGCTTTGGTTTACAAAGCAGCTTTATTGATTCGAAGCTGCCGGGAGGCGAGAATGAGGCGCAGACACAACTAGGATATCAAGAGAGCCTACGAACGCTGCTTTCAAATATCGTCCAGCTGGTTCTCTTGAACCTTCTCAAAAACGCCGGTGTTCCACGCTGGATGTTCTTCGGCAAAATGCAAAAGCTATACGTGGCGTACGAAGATTTCAAGAGATATATGGCTGAGATGCTGGCAAGAGAGAAAACGGCTTTTGAACAGGGCGATCTGACGAGGCATAACCTCATGAGTGCGTTGGTTCGAGCCTCTGAACAGTCGAATGAAACGGCACGAACCACAAAAGATCCTGCTGTCGCACCAGCAGGATTGTCCGATGACGAGGTATATGGGAACGTCTTCATCTACAACCTCGCGGGCCACGACACCACAGCTGCGACTCTCCATTTCGCAATCACGCTGCTCGCCGTCTACCCCGAATGGCAGACGTGGATCGCCGAAGAGATTGACCAAGTCCGCAAAGCTGACCAGTCGGGTATGTGGTATTATGAGGAGACCTTCCCCAAGTTGGAGCGGTGCCTGGCGCTCATGGTAAGCATCGACGTTCCCCGAGATCAACGTACGAAAGTGGACACTGACACAAGAACTGTTTAAAAAGTACGAGACAATCCGATTATACGGACCCGTCGTCATGATGCCTCGCTACACGGGAGACTCTGCCCAACATCTCAGCATCCAAGGAAAAGAATACATCTTGCCCGCCCGCACCTCGGTGACACTCAACTTTGCCGCCCTCCACACCCATCCACGCTACTGGGGACCAGACCCCACGCAGTTCCGGCCTGACAGGTGGATCGTGCCCGATGAACGCGGGAAGCAAGAGGAGAAGGAAGAGGAGGAGACCTGGGCGGTTGGCGACTCCTCGCCCCGCCTGTTCCAACCTGCTCCCGGATCATTCGTGCCCTGGGCCGCCGGACCAAGAGTCTGCCCAGGCAAGAAATTCTCCCAGGTCGAGTTCGTCCGCGTCGTTTTCGGCCTGTTCGCCAGCGGCTCGCGGGTCGAGCTGGTCCTGGAACCGGGCGAGAGCGAGCAAGCGGCAAAGCAGAGGATCATGCAGATCGTGAACGAGGCAAAGGTCGAAGTGACGCTGAAGATTGTCGATGCTGAGAAAGTCAAGCTCCGGTGGACCAAGAATCGTGGTCCAGTCCAGTTGTGAGTCCTGCGGGCTCCGATTTCTCAGTGATGGATGGATAGATGGATGGATGGATGGAAGGACGGGTAGGATCGTGAATTGATGTATGGGTCGGAGTCGCAAGCGCCCGAGACTAAAGGTATATTGCAGCACCCGACACTTGATTTGAAGGGATTCGCACCTAAAAGTCCAGGAGAGGATGAAATGCGGTCTATCAAGGGACAATAAGAAGTTTAACGAAGGGTCTTCTCACATTCCCCTAAATAACCTGTACAGAAAGACTGCGTGCCAGAGGGACGGATGAAAAGGAACAACGCCGCAGAAACGTCCAAACCAATATCAGGGTCGATCCAGACACGTCCGCGAATCCAGCCTGCAGCTTTCAATTGAGAATGGCGCTCCAATCCTGCTTCTTGATCCAGTCCTCCACCGAAGGCAGTTTCACCTCTA